CTGATATCATGAGAGTCACACTGGACTGACTTTGTCCCAAAACTTTACTCTTCTGGCCACTAGAACCTGAGTAAGTCACTGGTCACATGGGGGAAAATATATCCTTTTTTTGTTTTTTTTTTCTTCTTAGAGCTGCCCTAGAGTTCTCTATATCAGTATGGGGCCAAGGTTGGAGCAGTCTGTTTGCTTTTCATTTTGGGGGGAAGCTTTGTGGTTTTGTCATTTGCGTAGGGAAGAGTCCACAAGCCCACATCATTTAAAAGTTTATTCAAATCGTACCTTCAAAAGATTATACCAGCAAGAGTAGTCTAAGTGATTAAACTTATCACTTAATGTTTTGTATTCATTTTGCCTCCCCCCCCAAAAAAGGTGAAATTTGAAATTTTATTCAGCACTCCCTTCCTTTGAATTTATAGGTCACACGGTAGCTGTGTTATCCAGTTGTCATGTAGGATTAGTATTTACTGGATGAGATGTGTTGATTCAGGAGGCTGTCTGTGGAGTGCCTGCCCCGAGAGGGTCATATTAAACTGGAGAGAAGCTTTTGGAGCAGCATGGCATCTCAGAGACAGTATATCAAGCGGGTAGATGCATTGGCCCTCTGTTAGGAATCCAGGGAGGAATTATGGCTGGCTCCCAGTTACTGCCTCCGTGCTAAGGAGCCTCTGGGGAATAGGTTTGGATAAAAGGGGTTAACCAGAGGGGAAAGAAAGGTTTCCAGGACTCAGTGTCACTGAAAGCATACAGAACGAATAGGGCTGCCTAAATAATTGAAGATGGTCACTCTGTTTGGAAAAAATTTGCAATTTTATATCATCAGTGTGTGACCAATGTAAGGGACTACACTTTTTGTTATCACTCAGAATTCAAGATATATTATTATTACTATTATTATTATGTCTATTTTTGAACATTTCTGTTCTTAAGAGCATGGTAATGTAGTTTTTAACACAGAGAGATTATGTTGTGTACCTATTTAAAACTCTAATTTTTATGTTGATAATTTGTTAGAGCTAAGTTTTATTCAGAATTTGTGTTGATTAATATTTCTTGACACAGAAATATTAACAAAAAATAATACAGTGAGGGACATGGCTTTATATGTTATATATTATATGCACATGGTCTTTACTTTTTGTACACGGTCATTTTATGTATGTGTGTTTGTTATAAACCAATTAAAGAATATATATCAAATAAGAACTCATCATTGCTAAACCCATTTGTGTTCACAGACTAAATATTAGTTAAAAAATCTTTAGCAACGAACGTCCTTCAAACCAAAGATTGAGAGTTTAGTTTTGGGGTGGCCGGCCCCGGGCATCAATCTTACTGCCTTTCCCAGTCATGTGACATTTCTGCGAACGGGGGAGGGGGAACCGCTTCCTGACATTCATCTCTCCCCAAGCATCCCATCTACTCTCTCACTTTGGCACTGAGCTGAGACCTTTGGTTTTATCTCGCTCCCTGAGAAAATAAATGGACGCCACCAGGAGAGATCTTGGCTGGCTTCGCATCGGCGAACCTACCTGTCTCCCTGCACCTGCAGCCCCCCAGCCTGCATTCACTTCTGCCCACAGCCAGTGTGCTCTGCCTCTAAGTTCCACCCACATGTGCACTGGCCCGCCTCCCTCTTCCACACAAGGAGTTTGCTCTGATAATTATTCTTCCTTCTCCTGCTGCATTTTTGGCAACCCTTTCTGGGTCCTTCTATAACAAATAGCCAGATATTTCTTCAGCAAAATGGGCTTGAGAACCCCAAAACATTGCAGTTTCAGGACAAGTGGTCTAAGGGTGAACCACGCAGGAATCCAGAGCAACAAAGGAGAACTCTCTTTCATGGGCATGGGAGAGGCTGCAGTCAACAGAGTCCATTGGAGGGGAAAACAAATTAAAGCAGAGTGACTTTTAATTGGCTGAGTTATGGCCGTCTCCCATTGGCTGAGCTGTCATTGGGCAAGGAGGACCCTTCCTTCCTGCTCAGGTAGTAAGGTGGCATCACTTCCTGTTGGAGAAGCAAGGTACATCTTAACGTTGGGGACAGTACTGTGTGTTAAGTGACCTGTGTGAGTTCTCCAGTCTCCTGACTCCATTTTAAATGAGGCATCTGTTACTGATTTTCACAATTCTAATAAGCTTGCATGCTATAACGTCTTCTAGTTTTTAGAAAACCGTCAGTACTATGCACTTTCCTAAATGCTGCATTTTCTTCTCCCCTTTAGAACAAAATCCCAAAAAGCATTGTCTGTGGGCCCTGGGTCCTCTTGCCCCTCCTTCTCACTCCATCTCACCTTCTCTGATCACACCATCGCGCCCACCTGGCCTGGCATCTGTTCTTGGCAAGGTCACCAAATGCCTTCACTTGGCCCAGTAGAATGTATACCTCTGTCTCCTCGTTTCTTAATCCCTCAGCACACTTGAAAGAGTTGATCAGTCCTTCCTCTGATATATGGCTTCTTGACTTGTCTTCTAGGCCACACTTTCTCTTAATGTTTCCCCTACCTCGCTGACTCCTCCTCCTTCTGACCTCAGAAATGTGGCGGACCTCAGGGCTCTGTCCCCAGACCTCTTCTGCACTCACCCCTGGTTCCTTTCATCAAATCTCAGCCATTGAGCACCGCCCATCCATTCATCCACATTTCCTACATGCTCATGCTAGACTCGAATCTTCCTTGACGTTTCCATCAAGATGCATAACACACCTCTTGTGACATGGACAGTCCAGAACTCTTGATCCCCTGCTTAGCTTTACCTCACTGTTCACTGTTCTTCATCTCAGTACTGACACCAAAGTTCAGCTGGTGGTCAGACCAAAAACATCTACATCATCTATAACTCTCTTGTTTTCTCTCAGCAATACATGCCCCACTCAACTGAACACAATACGTCACTGTCCCCATGGCCATCAGCTGAATCTAAGCCTGTATTACTACATAGGTGATTTTCCTGTTTCTACTCTTGTCTCTGCTCCTTCAGTAGCCCCAAGTGGTCTTTATCACTTTAGAATGTGCCATTTTCTTTATTAATAACCCACAGTGGCCTCCAACCCCATTTAGAATACAGAGTCCTTACAGTGACCTGTAAGGACTAGACCCTAGCCACCCCCACCAGCCTCTCTTCCCTCCCCCTCCTTGGTCTGTTTCAGCCACATCAGCTTCTGTCAGTTCCTTAAGCACATGCACCCCCTCTTGCTGCCTTTGTACCTCCTGCTCACTCTGGTTGGATGGCTGTCACTCTAGGCATCTCACAGCCACCCTCCTACATCACTGAGGTCTTTGAGGTCACCCAATGATACCATCTCCGGGAATAACCTGAATTGCTATCAAACACCTAAAGCCACACACTTCTTTTCACCTTCTCCTGAGCACCTGTCACAGTTTGCTATGATCTTCTGTATCTCTTCGCCACTTGCTTCCTTCATTCCCATTGTAAGTCCCATGGGTCAGCGGTCATATCTACTTTACTCAGTGCTTTTACTCCTCCACTCAAAAATTGCTATTTTGCACAGAGTAGAGGCTCAATAAATGTTTATTGAAAAAATTAGTGTGTTAACCCTTACAACCAATTGACAGAACATGTAATCTAATTCTTCCATTCTCATCCATGGTTATTCATTAACCTCAGGGTTCACAGGCAGTTCTCTTGAATTGGAAAGTACGTGAACTCACACTACCTAAGGTTATATATGAAATGAAGTTGTAAATGAACCCTGATATTTGTTGTTATTATTTTGATCTCCTTCACCAATAGCCTCTAGGAATTCTTGGTCAAAAGGAGCTTATATTACAATATTTCTTTAAAATTTGCATGATAAATAGTCCTTAAGTTCTAAGGGAAGTTCAAATTAGTCTCATAAAATAACAATAATAATAATAATGACAACTGACAATTAAGAATTGCCAGGACCCACAATGAGGTGCTTTATTTACATTGTCTCTCGTCTTCACATCAATCCTGCAAATGAAAAGTAGTATCCCCACTTTAAAGATAAGAAACACAAGCTCAGGTCCCTCAGCAACTTTTCTAAAGCCACAGAATTGTGTTTAGTTTGCTTCTGAGTTTCTGATTAGCTTTGGAACAAACTCCGCTATGATAAGTTCATTCAAGTTATACCTGTAGGAAGAATTAATTTCATAACCAGCGTCATCTTGTATATTGTCTAAGTCGAGCAGACCTTAGTTTTACTGGTTCCTCTTAGCCCTTCTAGAACTGCTCACGTACATCTCCCTGATGGAGGACATCCAGTTGGTGTGCTGAATTCAGGGGAGATTTGCCAGAGATGCAACTAGGCTACAAAAAGCAACACGTATGTCATACTTGCAGCATTTTTTAATAAGTTCAACGTCACTGTGAGAAGGCACAGCTGACTGTAAAACACACGAGGAAAGTTTCATTTTTATATTTTCATCAGTGAGAATTAAGGCCAGAACGTGCTCATTTCAGCCAATCACCTGTATTTATCATTGTAAAAAAATACAATTATAAGGAATCTTCCTCAAAAAAAAAAAAAAAAGCCCACAAAAACAAAAAATCCTTTGTGTTCCTGAGTAGTACTGGGCTTAAAGTAACAGTGGATGATATTGAAGAACATTGGAGAAATAGAAGTTCTGGACTCCTTCACTGTTGGATTGCTTGATCATTGAGCAAAAGTTAGATTTAAAAGGTATTTGAGTATTTGCTTCACTAGATTCTGTATGTGTTTCAGTTAGACAAACAGAAGTACAAGTGGGAATATGTTGCACATGCATTTGTCATGCTGTTTGGCGGGGGGTGAGGGGGCAGCGTGGCTTTTAAGAGTGAAACCCTAACGTAATTGTGTTGAAACGAACAGTAAGGAAGTACAGTAGTTCAGGAATGAAAATGTTAAATTAAATGGACCATGGTGAACACCGTCGTTGATCCCGAGGAACAGTTTTTCCAGTATATGGAGCATCCCAATCCCACCCAGCATATGTTAGGCACAGTTTTCTCTGCTCTAATTCATCTGTGCTTGTCAACAGCTCCAGATGGCGTGCTGCCTCCCAGGCTTTCAGCTGCCGCGCCGACCAGTCTTCAGGTTGTCTGGTCCACACCAGCTCGTAACAACGCTCCAGGGTCTCCCCAATTCCAGCTCCAGATGAGGCCTGGCCACTCCCCCCACGGATTTCTAGAGTGAGCATTACGCCCTGTGCGTGTTCCCAGCTGTCACCTGGGTCACGTGGGGTAGCCATAACTTCATCTTTTTCTTTTTCCCCGTTAAGTTAAATTTATTGGGGCCACATTGGTTGATAACATCATATACATTCCAAGATATTTTGAGCACTACTAGGTCAGTCCTCATTTGCAACAAATAAAGGTCACCTTTTAAATGTTCAAAGAGAAAAATAGGGTGTCTAAGCAACACCCTAGAAGATGATGATTTGCTTTCAAAAAAGATCTATTTTTAATTTATATAGCATGTTAAATAAGATTTCTCTGCACTTAATTTTTCACGAGCACATGCATTTCATAAAGCAAGCATACACAGAGCTACAAAATGATAATACTTATTCAACAAATTCTACATGGCAATCATTCTCAACACTAGACTAGAATTTACCCAGTAGTACTATAATTTACAGCTCATGTAAGTACAATATTATGAACCCTCAACCAAATGGCTAGTTATTTTAAAAGAGGTATCGTGTAACAACAGTGAAGTATAATACTTAAATGTATGTTGACATTCTCTGAAAAGTCCGTGCAATCAAGTTTTTTTTTTTTATTATTTCTTTGAATGTCTAGAGCTTCCTGATGAACATTTCTTTCCTCCAGGTTATTTTCCAGTCCCTCGACCTCGTTAAGCCATGAAGTGAGAGATCTCCAGCCCTACACCGAGTATGAGTTTCGGCTGGCTGCCTCCAATGGATTTGGCAGCACACACAGTGCTTGGATTCCGTTCATGACGACAGAGGACAGTGAGTGGTCTGACGACGCACAGCCAAATGTCCTCTCCACTGGGGAGTCCTTCGTGTTTTTAGTTTGTCCTCAACCAAGAAATAAGTCTTCGCTATTTTTTGACACTTAGTGACAATAATCTTCTGTAGGGTGTTTAGGCTTCCCAGAAAGAAGAAAAATGTGGGCTTTCAAACACAGAGGGCTGGGCAGGAGGACATGATTCACAATAAATTATGAGATGGCCCCATTCTGTCCTTCAGGGTGCATCTAGGTGTCCTACAAGAGAAAGGTTCTTATCTTGTACTCTGTGAGCAAATGTTACTGTGTTCTCTGCTTTGGTGGGATTCTTACAGGTAGAAGACCATGAAATATGGGCCTTACGTTATGAGGATGCTATCAGTGCTGTAATACCCTTTCCTGGGAATAGATGTCATAGTACTTTTACTTGTACTTGGCAGCCTTCTCAGTGGGGAACTGTAACCTAATAACAGGTTGGGGTTGCCCTCTTCAACCAAGAGAGAGAATGTTTGGTTTTTTTGTGGAAGACTTATGTTTGCCTGTATATGTTCTTACTAGGTTATATAGGAAATGAACACATGGATATAATACTTAGTTTTCTAGAAATAGCCTCTCTAAAAGCATATATATTGGAAGTATAACTTTTAGAGAAGTAAAGCAAGCTACATAGAGTGAACGAGGACACTGCATCCTGGAATGATGGGGTTTTTAGGGTTAACCTTGTCAGATCTTTTAACCAGAAGCTTCTGAGAAGATGTTGTTCTCTCAGCCAACTGCCCTGCTCACTCTGTAAACATTGTAGATGTGAATGCTGTTTACAAGGCTAGGTACTAGTCCAAAAGCATAGTGTTCAAAATAATACCAATTATTTTACACAAAATAATACCAATTGCATATTAAATACATAGATTCCTAGTTCTAGTTTAGCATTATCCTTTCATTACATTATTTTTGTGAGGATAAGGAATCCGATAAGATGGAATCAGAACTATGTACCTTCCTCAGAGTTTATTTTATGAAAATGTATTATAAACAATCATATATTTCACCCACTTCTCCCAATACATCCTGGGGGCAAGTTAGGATGCTATACAAGGGCGCAGCCAGCATTTTTGATCTCATGCTCTCACGGATGCCGTTTAGTAAAAAAACTCTATCCAAAGGACAAACAGCACCCGAGCAAGGCTGGATGGCATTAACACGGTGCTCTGAGCACCTACGCCCCTTACAGGGACAAGTTCCATACACTCTGGGGAAGCTGACAGAATGGGCACCACCTGCGTTCGGATCTGCAACCCATAGAGCTAGCACTCAAATAAAGTTTTAATAAGGTGTTAAAAAAGAAAACAACTGAATAAAGAGTAGCTGAAATGATTATTCAATCCACTGCAGTGGGGATGGCCCCAGAGGGTACCACATGGGACGAGGTAAAAAGTGGTGTCCTTTCTCTGGCACTCCTAATTTCTAGTGCCAGAGACAGGGTGGTAGTGAGTTATCTCAGTGGTGATGCTTATTAAATAGGGGGCACAATCTCCTATCTACAAGGAGGAAGTTAGCACATAAAGTCCTAAATATTGCCCAGTATTTGAGCAACAGCGTTTGTTCAGCTTACCTCCTGCATCCTTTTACCATAAACCAAATCTGGTGGGCTCTGGGTGCTTAGCGCCTCCGTGCATGGAGACACTGCCTTCTCTGTTGTTTTTAGGGCCTGGGCTTGAAGTGAATAGTACTAATCCTTTGTCTTCCTTAGGTAAGAATCACTAACACCCCAGCCATCATTTTTATTTAAATTCTTTCCCTAAAACTGATGACCTCCCCCTTGCCCTGTTCATGTGCAGACCGAGCAGTCAGGCACATTAGCCAAGAGCAACAGGCCAGCCGTTGGCCCCTCCAGGTTCAGTGACCAGTGCATGCTGACCCCTGACTCCAGACAACAGTGTAGTCTGTATTTTGGGTGTCAGTGGAGATGGATGACATCTCAGGAAGGTGGTGCGATTGAAGTGACAAGGACTGAGTGATTGGCATTGGGCATAAGCAGTTTTTCTGTCAAGGCTTCAAAGCATTACGTATAAAACCACGCATGCTGACAGCTCCATGCACCTAGCATCACACTTCATTCTCCGTTCTGCCCCGCACCTCCCGTTCTGCCCCACTGTTCCCGTTCTGCCCCACACCTCCTCTTCTGCCCCGCAGAAATTTGACATATCAGCTCAGTGATGAAACAGCAAAGTCACCTCACACCCACATTTCAGTGTTGGACCATCACCTTTCTGCCAGAGCCTCAAAACTTTCCGGTGCCCAAAAGGGTCATGACAACCATGGTTTTAGTGTGAGATAGCAAGGCTGATTTTCATCAAGTCTGCAGCCAGCTGAGAACAGGAGAAACCTGGGCAGGAAATGAATGGCAGCCACCCAACCAAATGCTTGGGTGCAAAGAGAAGTTCTCATGGGCAGAGCAAAGGGCCATGAGGCATTTTTTAATTAAATGGATTGGAGTGACATTGGTTAATAAAATTACATAAGTTTCAGGTGTACAGTTTATGGTGCACAATCTGTATGTTGCACTGTGCGCTCGCCACCCAAAGTCAAATTATATTCCGTGACCACGTATTTGACCTTGACCCTCTCTTCCCTTTACTCCTCCCACCCCTTCCCTCTGGTCACTACCAGTATCTATGAGTTTCCATTTTATATCTCTGCTAGGAGATTGAATGTCCTAATTAGAGAGGCTTCTGCTAGCCCCAAACCATGTACTATTTCATAGTGAAGTGGGGAGGGATATATAGAAAAAGAGTTCCAAAACGAAAATGATTTTTCTTGTTCTCATTTTTGTAGCCTGTAGTGAGAACATAGGACTCTGAGTCTCTGTCCTAGGGAGGAGAAGTGAAAATATGGTATAAAATTTGATTAGTTGATAAAGACAATACTAGCATAGGATTTTGCAGATTATTTAGGTGTTTCTGGGCCCTTAAGAATATTTAAATTTTATGGCTAATCCGGCATTTTGAACATCTTTTTATTCACATGTTTTTGAAGTTAAAGTCTCAACCTGCATCTTAAGAGGGCCCTAATGTGAGAGAAGTATAGGAACATTTTTATAAGGGTAAGGCATATTTTTATCGGATCTTATTTTATTTAATGAAGAAATTGAGGTCCAAGTTTCAGCAACGCTGCACCGGTATTTTGCTTTCTCCGTTCCAAATGGATTTCCAAATTGCTCTGAATACTAACTTTGCAAATGCTGATGTGCCTGTCCTTTCAAACAGCAGTGTGGTTAGCTATGTGAGCCATAGCAGAAGACTCTTGATAAACAGTCAATTATTTAATGTGCTAATTTTTAGAGCGAAATAGCTCTGTATGCATGTCACCACATATTTTGTTTTTGTGGCATGAATCCTGCTCCTGAAATTCTTGCATTTCCAAAATTAGTAAAAGCAAGTGTTCATTTATTTTACATTCTTATTTATCCTAATATCAGAAGCTACAGGTGACCACGAGAACATCCTTGGAAAGGGTGGAGTGATTGATGAGATAGTCTGTCCCCTGGCCTTAGTTCCCCTCTTGGTCTCTTGAATCTCTATGGGGGTCCATAAAGCACAAAGCTCTTCCCAATATGGGACTTCTGGTTCTTGGAGGACTTTTTTCCCTGCCTTCCTAAATTCTCACATCAACATATTGAATTTTCTGTCCTAAACATCTAGGGAGGGTCCATGGCCATTCACTGAACAATATGCCTGATTCTAGAAGGAAAACCACTCGCCCTTATTTATCCTCCATAGTCCCAACCACAGGAGAAATGGGGAGAAACAGTCTTCCAATATACGTTCTCCAACTTTCAAACTACCAAACAGAATCCTTTCGATTGCCACAGCTACTGGCCCTTGGATCTCCCTTGTGATGAAGAGTGGTACCTGTGTTACCAGCCCTTTTTCTTATTTTGTCCATTGACAACAAGCTGAATGTTTATTTTCGTGCAAATCCCTAGTGCCCATTCTTCCTGTTTGTCTTGGGATTCAACTACTGAGCCATTTTCGTCACCGCGAGATTAATATTTCTTCATCTTTATTGTATTGGTCCTGTTACATTTAAGTCTTTTATTAGGAGCTATCAAAAATCCTGTTGGGACAGAGTTGGAATATAAATAATACATTGATAAAAAGAGTTCATGATTAAAGGGTTGATAGAATCCCTCACTTAACTCTTCTGCTAATGTATCAGTAGTGACTATCAAAAGGCCACCTGAACAATTAGCATATAATGTTCTGCTCTATGTAATTATGTGTCCATGTGTTTGCCACCTTGATTTTTCATTCCTTGACAAATTTAGGAGATAATCATTTGTGGAGTTAATTTGACTGAAAAGAGCTTTTAAACTGAGTGAGTTTTTAATGAGAATGGTAAAAAGTTGCTTCAGGGCAATAATGAGAACCTAACGGGAAAACTGAGCAAGTGCAAGAGACCCATGAAAATCAGTGAAAGCCCCACACACTGAAGTTGGGGGTGAGTCCAACTGTTCATTCATTCCTACACATACACACACACACACACACGTGTGTATGCACACGGCCTTCCCAACACATGCACCTAGGTATAAAAATAAATAAGCAGACCCCTCCACTAAACAATTGTATTCCTCTATTTTAGGCCGGGGCTACGCTTTGGAAGCTGATGAGCAAAATAGTTTCCCATAAAAGATCGTTTCATTGGAAACTACTTTCCGCTGTTGATGCTGTCAGGCCATGGCCTGAACTCGTAGTGGACAGGATGCCCCACCCAGACTCCGGGAGGGGGTTCTCTAAAGTGCTACTCCCGGGAAGAGGGCTGGGTGGTGGCGTTTGCGTCACTGGCCAGCTGCACTGTGCGGCTGTCACACTCCCCAGCCTCGCCTGCAGTGACAGCTGCATTGACAACGTGTTATACCCCACATTGATTTTACAGTTAAGGAGCTGATGGTGATATATAGGGATTTTAAGAATTCAGCTGAGAGGCTGACTTTTGCCTTTTATCATTCCATTAAAATTTTATAACCATCTTTTTCATGTCATTTCACCCATGAATTCTTACTTTAGAAAGTGATAGCTACTGCTGTGAGCATAACTTTTCCCATGTTCAGAGCTTTTTATTGTATTAGCAAACTACCCCAATTATAGTTATTACTCGTGTTTTACATAATTGTGGTGACCCTTTCCACCATGCGGGAGCTCGCCAGTGGATTTGTATATAGAATTAGGTGATTCGGCTTATCATTTCAACGCACAAAATTGAAGTAGGGCCAAGAGTCAGGTTTTAACACTTCCCTCGCCAAAGGAGCTAATTAATCTGCTCCTGGCTGCCTCTCCTGAATCACCCAAGTTTAAGGACCCTTAAACTGTCTTGTGACAAGAGCAGGGAACCAGCTCAGCTGGGGCGGGAAGCTAATGAAATGTGTACTGGGTTTTGAGGGGGAAAACATCATGAAATTGAAATTGAACATCTCTTCATTCCCAAGTTAGGAGATCATCTTTACCAGAAGCCTGTGTTCTGGTGTGTGGCGGGGGCGGGGGGGGGGGCGGAGTTTGAAGTGCAAGTTCCTCTCAGGGTCATGGATGTCTCACCTGTATCACTAGCATCTCATTCCGGAGAAACAAAAAAGGTCTTCCTCATCCTACCAGAGAACAAAATGCATCTTTCTTGTTTCTTTTCCATGAAGAAGCTTACGGTTTGATAGCACACATATGAGTATTAATTAATGCAATCTCCTGGTAAAACCCTAATAGAAAACATTCTGACTTAGAAGTGTAGGTCTTTGTTTTGAAGAAGGCGATGGGTGATATGGGGTCAGGCAGAAAGGCTTGCATCCGGCACTGGTTTTCCAGACCGCAATTTCAGCGGATGTAGTTTTCCAAAAAAAAACACACTGGTATCTCACCAGACTCGCACTGGCTTTGCTTTGGGAAATAGCCAATCTGGATGATACATACAAACAAGAATCCGCCATTCCTGTTTTGTTATAATAATCGCCAGTGCTACTGCGTGCAGCCAACAACAGTAAGAAATGTCACTGTGGCTTTAAGAAAGCTTTCAAATAGAAGTGAACAGCAGACTGAAACAGAAAATGGGATCCCTCTCAAGACCCCTGCACTTTTAGGATTTTTCTCCTCAAAGAGGACGTATCACCAAATGGTCAGAAACAACTGAATGGCGAGGTTCATGCTCTGTAATGGCTTTCCTCTCAAAAAGTAATTATGATTGGACCGCCAGTCCAGTTCGTGAGCAATACGTGTGTCAGTTGCGTGGCAGTGGGCTCCTGGGACAAGCTGTCTGGTAGTCACTGGTTTTGTGAAGCAGCCATTGCTTTTAAAACTGAAACTTTGAATATAACACTGAATCACACACACACACAAAATCAATGCTGTTTTAAACAATTACTAAATCCAAGTGTATCTTTTTTAAAGATTTTCCGTAAACTCTAATGTTCGCCCAAAAATCTCATAAATGTCGACATCGCTGTGGGCAGAAAAAGGGGAATCTAGTATATTCCTGATCTGTTGTAGCAATTTATAGATTTCAGGCTGTGGTTTATAAGAATGCTAAATGTTCTGGAATTACAGCTGTTACTGATCAGTGATGGAGCAGATTTGTGTTATTGCACCGTGTTCTTGCTTGTACCTGGAGAGCAGTAAAGCCTCCATATAATAAAAAGCACCTGCATTTTAAATGAAATTTCAATTGAAAAACTTAACAGCCCTTCAAATTGCAGAATTTAACGCAGCCCAGTAAAGCTTAAATAACACTTTGCCTCCGCAGGCTGAGGGCTTTGCCTTCAAGGTGACTTGACTGTGTCGCGTGGTGAAATTATTTACAATTAAGGAATTTCTCTGGAGGGCTGGAGAATAGTTGCCGTTCCACAACACCTAGGCAGGCATATGGCGGGCCTTTTTCAGTATTCATGGTGCCTCCTGAACCTTTATGATAATTGAATCAGTTAGAGTGCTGAGTGGAGCAAGCATAAAACCTGTTAACCCAAAGGTCAGATCTGTGCATTGTTTATTTATCAGCAGGTGAGAGAGCTCGATCGGCAGCCTCTGTCACAAGCACAGTCCAAAATCGCCGATAATATTAACAGGGGGTAGATAAATCACAAAACGCAGATGGGAATGATAAGCAGAACGGGGTGGACTATGGAGTAAGGAATGAACGATTCGGAAGGAGTTTACTGAGCTGGAAACCGTGCGGGTTTGTTATGATAGTGTTATTGATTATAATTAGTTACTGGGGCTCTTGAAAAACAAGGTGGCAGAGGCTGGAGCTTTGGCTAGAACTGCCCTTGTGTCTATTTCTCTTCTGATATCTTGATTTCCAAAGAGTCCTCGTGGTATTTTGTAGGCATTAGCTTGAAGGACAGGAAATGATTTTGATGGAGCCATTCAAGAAAAGAAAATCACAGTTTAAGTCGGTGATACTCAATATGCCCTGCACATTTAGGTGCAGAGTAGTCATAGGCACATGTATATTTACTTCCTGGCTTTTACTGAGGGTTCAATTTCATATCCCAATAGGAGAGTCATTCCTGGTTTTAGCTTTATTTTGAGGAGATGTGGGGAGTTTTCGAGCAGTCTCACTTTTCGGATTTATTCAACTCTCTAGGACCTGGACCTATCGACCCTCCAATTCTTCTGGATGTGAGATCGAGAACGATATCAGTCACCTGGCAGCATCCTTTAAAGCGCAACGGCATTCTTACCCATTATCACATCTACCAACATGGCCGTCTCCTTTTGACAACTTCTGGGAATATCACCAATTGCACGGTGATCCATTTGCGCCCATTCACCGCCTATGCGTTTCAGGTGGAAGCCTGTACTTCGAAAGGGTGTTCCCTCTCACCAGAGTCCCAGACCATGTGGACACTCCCAGCTGCACCCGAAGGCATCCCAAGCCCAGAACTGTTCTCTGATACCCCAACATCCGTGATCATATCTTGGCAACCTCCCAGCCACCCCAATGGCTTGGTGGAGAACGTCACAATCGAGAGAAGACTCCAGGGCAAGGAGGAAGTTACTACCCTTGTGACTCTCCCGAGAAATCATTCCACGCGGTACATTGACAAGACAGCTGCCCTCAGCCCATGGACAAAATATGAGTACCGGGTGCTGATGAGCACTCATAATGGGGGTACGAACAGCAGCGCGTGGACCAGAGTAACCACAAGACCCTCACGCCCTGCTGGGGTGCAGCCGCCCACGGTGCATGTGCTGGGACCTGATGCAGCCGAGGTGAGATCCTGAGTGTCCTGTCTTCCTCGCAGACTTAGGTTTTTACCCTGGGCTGACTCTGTGTGGAACAGAGCCATCTACTGACAAAATCCACACATTCATTGTCTTAGGCATTTACTAGAGAAACCGGGTTTTGGCCTTTGGCCCAAACTCTCTTGAATTCGATGTCAGTTTTTCATTTCTCCCTGTATCCCCTTAATTATATTGTTGAGACGCTTCCCTCTGCCTCACACACCTGGAATATTTTGAATGCCACAATGGGATGCTTAGCTTAACCACCATGTCAGATTTAAACAGATCAGCAAACGAAAAGGAATGGGGAAATACGAAGGAATGGATTAGCATGTTAACACAAGTTCCAATTACCAAAATTCAGATTTCTTTTTAATGATCAAGGAATCAAACTGATGGGGAAAGAAATCAAAATCACCTGTTACTGGGCGATCTGGAAAGAGTTCCGTCATTCACCTCGTCCTACAGGGAATGAGCTCCCGAGGCCAGGATAACTACCATTGTTTTGGCTTGCATACAAACTTCATTCAAGGGAAATTAGTGTAACCAAACAGGAGGGAGTTTTGTAGCTTAGAAGCCTCTTTTGTGTAAATACACACATGCTTCCATGGCTTCGGTCTTGTACTGCTGCCAAAAGCATCGGTACAGTAGCTTGCTCACCAGAGCACAAAACAAAGGACATTTGCATAACAGCAAAGTTCATCTGTTGAATTGATGGCTTGGATCCACGTGGGACTCTCCTTCTCCCTCATCCGAAGGCAAACACTAGGCGATGCTAAATAGGGGAAATCGCGGAGGAAGTTTAATTTAACCTATAGACTGAATTCTGTTTTTAAAAGTCTTCATTAATTTTTTGCAATAGGAGACTGTTCAAAGCAACACCCCTTTTTGATAGAAATATCAAATGTGTATAGACTCCTGTGGATAAAAGGCTCAAAAGAAGTTAATTGGAAGTACATGATGTACAGTGTGTATTATATGAAGTGGGTAATCTTAAGAATTGTTCTTCATTCAAAGTAAAAACAAAACAAAAGAAAACCCCAAACAAACCTGGAGTGATTAATCATTCCAGGAATGACTTTTTGTTTTAATCCTGAGGGAATTTTGCAAAACTTCGGTGGCAGAACCAATCAATAGGCTGCTGCGTAAACACAGTCCTTTCAGCAAAGGCAAAGCTGTATGACGGACATTATTCTGGATTCTGTCTAAGAAACACATAACAGGCAGATTTGAAAAAAAGAACAGACCCTTTTAGAAGAACGGAGGCTCAATGCACAGTTCTATTTGATTGAGAAAATGGCGAACAAACGTCTCCAAAATGTCACCCGGCCTTTTCTTTCTTTAAATGCCTTCTTTTGATCTTGTGGCCTCATCCGGGAAGGAAACAATGTGTGTGGCTTGTCAGCTTGCTAGAGACAAGTATAGACCAACTTGGCTAGGGAAGGGCACCTCACAGCTGTCACCAGGGGCAATAGTGTCACCAGGATTGTGTCCAGACGTAGCTTTACAATGGGCTGTGCTTTAACCAAAGTAAAAGGAATTGAGTCTTCACCATCATTCTCAGCTATGTTTAAAGATGGGGCAGTCTTTGATGTTTGCTTAAAGCAAACCATCAGGAAAAAATTGGAAAAACACACTATAAAGTCTTATGGAAGGAAATCATAATGACAACTAATATTTATTGAGTTTATATTAAGTTCCAGGAATTGTTTTCATTGACTCCTTGCCCCAACCGTATCAGCTAGATGCTATTATTATCCCCATTGCACAGGCATGGAAAACTGAGAATTGAGAGATTAAGTGATCTGCCTAAATTTACAGAAGGAGCAAGAGTTGGGATTCACATGGGTGCACTGTGGTTCCAAGGGTCCTTGCCAGACTTCTTCTCATTGGAGCAGAAGGAAAATGCACCCTCTTTCTGGACGGTGTCGGCCTCCGTGACCAGGCAGCCTCCCAGAGTTGATACACACGCCCAGCACCAATCAAACCGGGACGCTAGCCAGGTTTCCATTTGGTCGTGTTTTACACTGGATAAAGTGATTTTAATTTTAAAAAGAAGACCAGATGGTAGATATATCCTAGAAAACTGGAAAGGCCAATTTAGGGAGGTAACATCCTCCTTAGCATGTACATTTCCTGTAAAGTGACTGAGTCACAACAGTGCGTGTGGTATTGGCATAAAAATGGACAAGCGGTCATTGGAACAGACTGGAGAGTTTAGATACAGATACAAGTACGTGTGGCAACTTTACTCATTGGAGAAGTGACATTTTATGGGGACAGAATGGCTTGCTTTTACAGTCATACCGACTAACTGACCATTCATCTGTAAGAATAAAAAATAAACCTCTCATATTCTATGATAACTAAATTTAAATAAATAAAACCTTCAATATTAAAAACGGCAAGTGTGGAAGAATATGAAGAAGAATTTTATGTAATTTAAAGTTTGGGAGCAAGGCTTTTTCTAAGTTATTTTTTTTAAGTTTAGCAGCTTTAAAAGGGAAAGATAGTTTTATTTAGCTAGAAAAGAATTTGATTGTTTTCTGCAAGATGTAAGACCCCTCCAAAGACAGTTAAACTTCAAAAGACACATTGGGAAAATACATTTGTAACACCTACCATAGAAAAACAGATGATTTCCCCATAATAGACAAAGGACTTTAATGATTTAATTCTTTGAAGTAGCTCCAAACCTTGACTGAACTCTCAGAATATTCGGGTTCAAGAAGCGGAGAAGTGGTGTTCCACATATCAGTTAGATTGACTTTTGCTGTGATAACCCTTTTGTTTTTCATTTATGTTATACGTAAGTACCAAGAAGCCCCTTGAGTTTGAACTTGACTCATTTTTCCAGTCCACAGAGAGTATGGCACCACCCTCTCCCCAAACAAATAGAAGCCTATGTCTGTTCTACAGCCTTTGCTTGCTTTAGGTTTCTTTGACCTTTTCTTTTTTTAATACCCAGACAAATCCTCTATTGGGCCATTGTTACTAATTAAGACAGTTATCAAGCAACTGCCCCACCGGCACTGGGTTAGAGGGGCGGAGATGTTATCGCCACTTTTTGTAACTGTTCCCCATGACAATCTCAGACGGGATTCCTTCTGCAGGAAATTTTTTCTCTTTGATTTAATATAGAGCCTTTTGGTTAGTCCTCTGTTCTAAGTTTTTTATTCTTTTTTCAGTCTGATTTTGTAGAGGTTACAAATGGAGATATTAACATGTCCATTTGTAAAAGTTTGTCCTTCAGAGTTTCGAAGTATAATGACTGCATGCTACGGCAAAAATGCATTTTAATCAGCCATGATTCTGATTGCTTCCTGAACTCCATCTCTGTGAGCCTGGCAGCACATGGGTATAAAATTTCGGCCTGGCTTCTGAGAAGCTCACCCTCTGTTTGGGAGATGAAATATATACTCTAATATGTAAGGGACTTTGCAAAGTGACAATAAAAGAGATGAACCAGGATGGCGTATAAACAAGTGAATGTTTTTATAGACTGTACATTTTTTCTAGGGTCCTTTTTGCCCAATAGCACAAATGTATTACCACTGAGCTCTTACAGAATTTACCCGCAAGAGGAAAAGAATGTGAAATGTGGTGCTTCGTTTTAAAATGCTGTTGTTTCAGCTGATGCTCAAGTCCATGAGCCAAAGATCACCATCCTGTCTTGCCTTTGAAAAAGCCTTCTGTGTGTCTCTTTGAGGATAGGAGGTGTTGCTGCTTGACTTCCCACAACATGCAGAAGTGACATGTAGGGACTTAATTGTACACCCTCAAAAATGCAACTAATGAGCCCCCATCGCCATCCTTCCCCCCACAAAAAAAAAGTTGTTATACCTTTAGAATGCACACTAATGACGCAAAGCAAGAAGTTCTGATGTTTTGTTTAATTGAGTTATGAACGAGAAAACTATCAACTCCCCTCTCGCTGCTGGCTGCCCCATGGATGTGCACAGATGTGTGAATTTTCTCCGCATGTGGGCACTGTGTCCTTCAGATCCCCCACATTAGAGATGGGTCGCCAAGGTGTGTATTAGCCTGACAGGCCTGGGAAGTATCAAGACTGAACGCCAAGCCCAGCAAACAGCATGACATTTAGGTCCTGGGGTGCTGCTAATTGATCCCTAACCCTTCATTACGGTCTCCAGCAAAAGCAGGCATTTAGAAAGTGACTTCCCTAAGAACCAGAGCGACCGAGTGAAGTTCTAGGCCTTGCGAACCGCCGTTGCTCTGTGCTGTGTTTTCACACTGATTCTGAGTTTATCCATCCTTCCAGGTCACCTGGCAGCCCCCGCTCATCCAGAATGGAGACGTGCTCAGCTACGAGATCCGTATGCCTGACCCTTCCATCCCAATCACCAATGTCACTCCTTTGGCCTTAAGTCACATGATCACTCACCTGATTCCTTTCACGAATTACTCTGTCACCATCGTGGCTTGCACTGGGGGTGGTGGGTATCTGGGAGGGTGCACAGAGAGTTTGCCCACCCATGTCACCACCCACCCCAGCCTGCCTGAGGGCGTCCGCCCGTTGTCTGCGGTCCCACTAAGTGAATCGTATGTCGGGATTTCCTGGCAGCCACCCTCCAGGCCAAATGGACCCAATTTAAGGTGAGACAAAGTGATTGTGCTTCTGGATTTTGCTGTGGTCTCATCTCCCCAGGTGGGAAAGGGGTCTTTATTCACATGTGAACATAGAAGTAATTCCTTATTGAGGGTCCCACGCTCAACATCATCTATAATTTCATATTGAGTATCTTGTCGTATGTGGAACCCACACAAATTCATCATGGCAGAATTTATCATGCCTTAGTGAAAAACTAAGAGCCCTGAACAACAACCACAGTTCTCTAAGAATTCTTGACATAACCCTTCCCTTGATTTTCAAAGTGCACCTTTAATATATGTCAGGAAAACGTAATGCTTGTTCTAACTGATACATTTGCACAAACAGGTCTCAAAATACCAAAGCTAACACATAATTTGGGGGCTTTTTTTTTTCTTTCTGCAAACTTCTAAAGAACGTGGTCAGGGATACAGATAAGAAAGGAAAGCATTATGATTCTGAAATGGCTTTATAACAGCCCAAACCTGATCCTTAGCCATGACCACGGAGTTGATAATGTTATCATTGTTTGTACAGTATTGGTGGTCAAAATCTTAGAAAATCATTAACTTAATAAGCATTTTGTATTTCTGCTTTGGATGGACCTGACAAGAAAGTATTAGCAAGCCTGGCATAGAAAAACACAAGAAATCTAAAATGTTATCATTCTCCCTGATAGCAGGAAAATGTGAATATAGTTGATGATTTCAAAATAATTGAATGTTGGGAAACTTGAGTCAGGATAAAATAACCTGGAAAAGCATTGTAATCATAAATTAATATGTTTCCTTTCCATTTACATATCACATACTCATCCCACAACACAGCCTGAATGTTGGTAATAACATTAGTTGAGATAATCCCAATGTTTCTACTCATCTTTTGCTTCAGATATGAGCTTCTGAGACGTAAAATCCGGCAGCCACTTGCATCAAATCCCCCAGAAGATTTAAATCGGTGGCACAATATTTATTCAGGAACTCAGTGGTTTTATGAAGATAAGGGTCTTAGCAGGTGAGATTACACAAACTATTAAAAAACAAATGCTGGCATTTATTTCGGGGCATGTTGAATAGTTCAGAATAACCAAGTGTCTTCATTGTGTGAGCATGTTATCGGTTATGCAAGAAAATGTGTCTGGTTATTATCAGTGGCGTTAATCATGGAGCTGAAACAGCGTGTTTAATGTTTGCCATCTTAACATAAGCCTTTGCACTCGAACTTGTATATGTTTGAGCCTCAACTTGCTGCCTCTGTTACAGTTCTAGAAAGATAGGAAAACTTACTAGAGAAGTTTGGAAATCTTGAACATGTAGAAAACTGGGGAAAAGCCGGGTCAAATGCTTGCCATTTATGAGAAATAATTGTTATAAGTCATTTCTACCGTCTGCAAAAATTAGGTAATGAACAAGCCTGATTGATACTCAGAAGAATTCCATCTAGAGTTCAAAGAAAGCGAGGAACAAGGCAATGGCAGAGGAGTATTGCATGGGTGAACTTGGAGATGTAGGTGCCGTTTCATCCTCTGCTAGAGAACTGGCTTTGAGACCTTAGATAAGTCACTCAAGTTCTCTGAGGGGATTGAATGGGATTCAGTGCCTTCTACTCATTCATGAGTCTGAGCCACGTCATCAAATTTCAACACACCACCAGGATTATTTTATGAGAACTTTTCAGACAACTGTTCTATCAGGTTATTTCTATAGACTCACCACCACCGACTAGGTCCACTTAGGATACTGGTCACAGCTCTGGCCTTGTCCCCCACCCCTTCCTCTCCTGGCCCCTGTGTTGGAGCCTTATCAGCAGCATTCCTTCCAGTGCCTCTCATGCACACCCCTTCATCACCCAGCTGCTCCCATTACCGTGATCTCCCCCCTTCTGATTGGCCGTCCGTCAAGCTTCCACTAGAAGTTTCCTATTGGGCTTCCCCGCTCTCTTTCTTCCTGGTCTGAATCAGCTGCCCCTCTATTGCATTTCCTTGCACGCCGCCCCCCCCACCCCTTATTACCATCATCACTGTAACATCCTGGCCTGGCTACTTGTCTGGACACCCCACTGTATTGTCAGTTGCACCAGGAGCCAGGGCTCCATCGTCATGACCTCTGATCCCCAGTCCCTAGCGCAGTGTCCATGGCACAATATGGCCCTTGAATAGTTGTTGAAGCGGAAGGCTAGCGTAAGCCAGTGAAGGGTGGGCTACTGAATTCCTCTGCGCTTTAGGAATAGTAATTGGAGAGCTGCTATCTTTGGGGAATGGGTGGAGCTTCAGTTCTCTGTTCATCGAAAAAGGCGTGCAGTGGGAGAACGTGACAGATACTGTAAGGTTCTTGGAGGGAGGCAGCCGTAAGTCTAATGAACCAGTGGAGTGAGCCGCGTGAAACTGCCATTTTTGTAAGTCAGTAATGACCAATTAGCATTCCTTTTTGTTCAGCCGAAATTACCATGGTCATTAGACTGTTCTCCACGATTTTCAGTTCCCTAGTTACTTAATCTGGCATCACTTAGAACGGTCACTTGGTGGAAGAAATTCATGTATTCAACCATTTTTATTTTTTGCTTACCGTATGCCGAGAGGCATGGCGATGGGAACAGATGACGAATGGAGCAGAGCCCTTCCCTCAGAGAGCTCACAGTCTAGAAGAGGAAAGCACACACACACGTGCACACGTGTCCGTGTCAGTCGCTGTCACCAGCAGCCACCAACACTGCCTGAGGCACTCGTGGAAAAGTAGCTTTCTATGGCCTGTGACCTCCAAGGGCTTGAAGTATAGCTTTCTCCAAAGTGGCAGACTTTCTCTAGTTAACATCAACTGAAGCCGATTTTCAGCCATCAGATGTTTGGCAGAAAGACAGAATCACTCTCAGAAAGCTAATGCTGTTTCCTCATGTAAGTGAGAACTTATTAAAGATTGGAACCAAGGCCAACTATATTTACTATGGAATTTTTGAGTGATGCCTCTAAGGGTTTTTAATGAAAAGTCCAAATTGAAGATGGAAAGAAAGAAAGTTAAATCTCCATAGATTAAGTTGAAACACAGGTCACCACCAACACTGGGATGACGGCTGCTTCCAAGAAGGAAGCGTACATGTAACAGAATGTGCTGAGCTGGTATTTTGATGAACCTCATAATGCTAAATGCCAAGGGATTTTTTTCCCCCTGCTAGGACCAGCCAAATTTCTTTCAAGTAACTGTTATAACCCATATAACCAGCTTGTGATGAGTAAAAAAAAAAACCCAGTATGCATTTCTATTTAATATTCAGAATAAATGGCAGGGGTCTTCCTATTGTGAGAAGGATTTTTTTCTTAGCCCTGTACCCTCTATGTCAAAACATGTTAGGGGCCCCTTGAGCCCAAGGTGGGATTCCCTGACAGTTCTGAGAAGAACCTGGAAATTAGTCCACTGGGGGGCGCTATGTACTGCACCAGTTTTTCTATAAAGAAGTGATCTGGTTTGGTGGATGCCCTCATTCCCCACTTGACTGCCAGCAGCGGCCAGACCTCACCCTGTGCTGGCAGGATAGCTGTCTCTCCAATCCTCCAGCTCACTTCTCTTCCCATTTACACTGCAGCCCCTTCATAACCCTGCCCTTTGCTTTGCCTTTATCTCGTTGACTTGTTGGTTTGGTTGGCTATCTTTTAGTGGGCGGAGGTGAGAATGGGTGATGGAATGCAGGTGCCTGTAAGAGGAATATGTAATTTCCCATTCTCCCCAGAATCCACCATTCCTTAATGTCTTCCAAAGTTGCATAGATGGGAAGGGAACTTGTAGTTTCTCCTCACCTTGACCCAATTTTACCACAGCTACCTCCAGAATGAGCTTTCAGAATGGCACTTCTCTTGCCATAGAATGTCATTTTAACTTAAGATTCCTGGACATCCCTGTACGAATATATTTGTGAGACTACATATAAATTGAAGTCACTATGCATGGTCAAGCAGTCTATTTTCATAAGCTAAATGTTTGTGATATATAGAATTACACCCATTTAATCTAAAAATGTTAACGTAACTCTGAAATTCTAGGCATTCTAGTCATTCTTTTTGTTCCCGTATACCTCCGTATACAAAGTAGAATAGTGGACCAATTATTCAGATACCTTAAATACAACTATGATTCTAACACCATCTTAGGTAAGGGGTGATTCTGTCAAATTCACACAGCTAGTCACCTCCGTATTGAACTTTGCTCTGTGTGCATTAACACAAATTCAGTATCACTATAGGTTTATAGTCAGTTGCTGACTTTTCTGCCTTTATAATTCTGTGCTAAATGGCCAAGTTATGGTTGTTAGGGGAACCATAACTTTGGGTGTCCTGACACTGTCATCACTTGGAAAATCTGGTGACCACGCGGTTGTCATCTGCCATGGGGAGTCAGGCGGGGGTTGACAAGAGGACAGTGACTTCCTTCAGTTTAAGCCTCTGTGCCCTGGTGATAATTTTCAGCATGTCCAGATGCCTTGGTTCTGAAGTGACCAGATAAAATCCCTGAGAATGAAGTGAGAGCATGTTCTCCTTTCTGTTCTGGATTTGACAAATGAATAAGAGGGTATAAGAAATAACAGGTTCTGCTTTCTATCTTGGAAAACATTGAAGATTTTAAGAACTTAGCTGCCACTAAGTTTATAAAGAGAGGTATGTTCTAATTCCTATCCCTTTCAATTATTGTAAATTCCTAAAAAGTATTATTTTGCAGTAACAGTCTGAAAAGAAAGCTCCACTTGACTGCTCAAGAATCCGCTAACTGAATTATCTTTCAATGAAAGCACAGTTGACTCCTAAACAATGTGGGGGTTAGGGGCACCTTTGAACTTCTGCAGGGTCACAAGTCCATCTATAACTTTTGACTCTCCCAAAACTTAACTAATAGCCTATGTTGACCAAAAGCTTCACCAACAGCATAAAATTAATTATCACATATTTTGCATGTTATATGTATTATATACTATTTTCTTACAATAAATTAGAGACAAATGTGATTATGAAAACCATAAAGAACAGAAAATACGTGTATAGTACTATACTGTGTTTATTCATCCTGTTAAGTTTACAGTATTGTACTATGTTTATTGATACCATAAGTTTACAAGGTGAAACAGTTTGCATGTAGAAAGAACCTCGCAGTTAAAACCCATGTCATTCAAGGGTCAACTGTATTAAAAATCAATAAATATTCATCTTACTTTCAAAGACTGATTGGACTTGATTGCTTTAAAACTAAATACTTAAACTAAATATACCATAGTATCTAAGCTTCATTTTTTAAATTCTAATTTTTAAAACCCTCTAAAGTGAAATGTTTTAAGCCCTAAAAGAGGATATAGTTTGGGGGATAATAATACTCCAAAGATTATCTGTTTGGTCTCCCTCCTTCATAACGAGATTAAATGTACCCAGATGATACTTCCTGCTGGGCTTCCTAACAGCGGGTCAGTTCTCTGACACATGTCCTCTGTGAGAGAGCATTTAAGTTGAGAGCACATTTAAGTTGTAAGAGCATTTAGGTTGCAGCTCTGCAGTAAAGTATTTGACTTTGCACTTAGGAAGGGTGAGAGGAAGGAAGGACATTCTCCCGTGACCAGCGACGTGGAGTAAATCCTGTGGGTTGCTTCCTTAACATTAGCAAAAGTTGGGTTTGGGGATGAAAGCCAACTTCTTTCGGCATCAGTGTGCCATCTCTGAGCATCCTGCTTACTTCAGAATAAGCAAAAATGTATCTACTTCACATTTAAAGTAAATTACTGGCGTCTTGGTCCTCTTCATCATGGGGATCTTTTTTTATGGCTCTAAATTGATGCCACACTCTCCTGAGTGTCGTCATGTGAAACCTTACCTCATGAAAAATGAGCCTCCAAATGGGCGAGGATGCATTTCTGTCCTAGGAGATTTTTTTCCCCCTAATGTTTTCTTCAAGAAAAAAATCTAGCTTCTCCGTGCAACTTTATTTCTACTATTGATGACATAGTAGAACAAAGATGGGAAGTACAGCCAAATTATTTTCAGTGTG